TCCCGAAAAATTGTGCAATTGAATCACCAGGTTTCTTGCAGATCGGAGCATCAAGATTGCTATAGCCGGTGCATGCTCCGATTACAAGCCTATTAATGCTGGTGTTTCACAAGGCTGCGTGTTTTTCCTGCATATCAATAATATGTTGCAAACCGGTAAAATTCATTGCTATGACAGCACTAGTGTGCCCAAATTTTCCGTGCAATATTTTTCGGGAAAACGTCACCGAGTACCGGAACAAAGTTGTGTCTGAAGTCTTTGTTCATCAAAGAACAAAGTCTCGGATTGGGGGCGACTAAATCTAATTCAGTTTAATCCTCAGAAGACATAAGTGTGCACGTTTACCGCTAAAAAGAACCACTTTGTCGTATTTCCTCAATTTCAAGGCACTTTCCTTGTTACCTCAACCAGTATCGGAATTCTCGGCGTCGACATATCGAGTGACGTGCACTTTCATAGTCACTTGGAAGAGAAGTCCAAATTGGCCTCTGAAAAGCTTGGCGTGCTCAGCAGAGCGGGACAGTATTTCATGCCGCAGTCGCAGTCGCAAGTCGCAGGTTCGGCCTCACTTGGAATACTGTTCCCATCTCTGGGCTGGGCCTTCCCAGTGGCAGCTCCTATCACTTGACCGCATCCAGCACACAGCGGCTCGAATCGTTGACAACCGAGTCCTTTTCGATCGACTCGATTTACTGGCGCTGCGAAGAGATGTTACATCCTTTTGCATTTTGTTTCACATCTACCTCGGGGAGTGCTCTGAGCGATTGTTTGGATTAATTCCAGCCACCAAATTTCACGAACCCACATCGCGGCAAAACTCCCGATACCATCCACACCATCTGGATGCTTGGTGGCCCACTACTGTATGTTTCACTAGAAGTTTTCTTCCGCGTACGATCTCTCTGTGTAATAGTTTACCACCGGCGATTTTTAATGACCGATACGACTTAGGAACCTTCAAGAAAAAAGCTTACTCCTTTCTAAAAGGCCGGCAACGTACCTGCAATTCCGCTGGTGTTGCAGTTCTTGTTGTCATTTACCATTAGGTGAGCCGTATGCTCGTTTGCCCATTTTCCTATAAAAAAGTGGAAGGAGCTGGTACTGGAATGACCAGGCCCAGAGATGAGAATAGAGACAGAATTCCATATGAGTCAAACTTGCGCATGTAAAATTGCAAGTATGTTCAATAGACTGAAAATCGTCGAGAGAAACCTAGCTAACTAATAAAGGGTTTTAGAGTTTCAAAAATTTTTACAAACAGGTGTCAATTTTGGTCACTTGTTATGAATTGTGCAAGTCTTCATTTCACATAACCCATCCATCTATTCATTACAACCTATAGAAATCCACTTCTAACGTGATTTTGCCATAGTGACCACGTTTGCTAGGCGGTATGGCAATTACATTTTTTTTATTATAAGTAGTTATTATCGAAAGATGCTGCTGCCCATCTATTTAAATTTCCCTCTGTCACCACTTACAATACACACGGGACGATATGGGGTTGTGGATATTGTTACACCGCCACTGCACGGTTAATAAATAATATATCACAGAAAACGGTTAATTAAGTATCTGGACCAATGCTTAGCGGTGAATGTTTCATAGGCTGTAATAAATAAAGGACGAACGAAATGAAATATTCAAAATCGAAACGTTGTTTGAATAATAATAATAATATAATACCCTTTTTCCGTATTTCTTAAAAAATGTCACATACACCCTGAATGTGACATTTTTTACATGTCGTACTGGTATTCTTGTAGCCAGATACAAAACAAAAATTTGTAGGTCATACGAAAATTTACATCAAAGTCGCCGCCCGCAGTTCCGCAATCAAACACTTCCACTGCGTTGCCGAACCATCAATCGTCACCTTGCGTGAAAGCATAATATATATTTGAAAGCTTCTCTTTGGACGTTTGTTTTTCATTCGCGCAAAAAAGTAAAGGTATAAATTTAATAACATAATTTATTTTTGCGTTTAAATGTTACATTATATGTATTTATTATTGCATTTATAGTTATATTCCAATTACTATACCGTACAGCATCGTAGAGTACTTCTTTCTTTCTCCTTAGAAATTATCAATATTTACGAACGAGTTGATGTGGCTCGTGTACTGTAGAAGTTCATGTTATAAAAGCTCGGAAATACGTCAGAAGCTAAATTGTTAAAAATAATAAGTGTGAAAGCGGATGTTCAAATTGATCCTTTACTTACGCAATTAATCATTATCGGCAATAAAACAGCGTAATGCACTATATATTCACGTTTTCAGACATTCATTAAAGAGCGACGGAATAGAAAAAAATATTTATTTAATCAATAAAGATTACAAATTATTCCTAATAGGCTGATGCCAAAAAATTAAAATAATCCACAGTAAATCCAATTACGTATTCTTTATTTTTCAATTACGTAATTTAAAATATTATCTTTTTACAATTTTAATTAACAGTTTAATGTAATATAACTAACAAATTTACTTGATTACTTTAATTCGTTATTTAACCTATGCTAGGCACAAGCCTATAAAAATAACAAAATTGTAATACCCGAAAATAGTGGTTCAGTTGTAAGGCACGTAATTTAATAAACTAACACCACATGTACAACGCTTAACTTACAATACATATCTTGAATTTGAGTTTGAATGTTATGCCTTTAAAAACAAAGGAAATACAAACTACAAAAAATGTGTTATATTTTAAGAATCAGTCTTGACATAAATTGTGTAGTAAAATCAACAATCATAGTAATGCCCCGAAGCACCGAGGTACAGCTGCGCCGGTGCTTCGGTCACTGCAATTTGCAAGGTGCATGAAATGAAACTGCCTCGGGTTTATAGTTATTGCTGTACAATGAGCATCTAAACCACGGACACGCTATACGCTTCTGTGAATTGACCTGCTAATATAGTATTGTTCTATTGCTAACGGGAAGCCCCTTGGGATTTTCTTGGTAGGTCAGCTTTCATTATAAATTAATAAAGGAAATAATTTCAAATAAATTATTATAAAACTTAAAGTATATTTAGTTAGCGTTAATTCGGGAAATAAGCAGCACCATAAAAGATACATGAAAGTTTTACAACTGCACGAGTTTACTTAAGGAATTTTATTTTATATCTGGTTTATAGAATAAGATATAATATATTAATAATAAGAACTTCAGGAAGCAATGCAGCTTCGCGTCTCTTGTAGCACCATTTTTAAAAATTGATGCAAGTCACAATGTCGTTCTAGTTTCTTGAACAGTACACCATGTACAAGCAGTGTAAGAGGCGACAGAGGGAAACAAATTAGGAGATAGACAGCAGCATCTTTCTAATAACGACTAAAAAAATACAGAGGTTGTCAACCCGCTTTTGGCAACAGCGGGTGGCAACTATGGCTATTGTACCCCCTATGAGTAAATCTATTGGAGACCTATATTCAGTAGCGGACGTTAACACGCTGCTACGGAGTAGAATAAGCTCGTTGAAGGTTGCTTGCGGAGAAAACTTAGAACGCTGAATTTCGTCGGGATTTCAAATTATTAAAAACCGAATCTTTTGCTTCGTCAGTATAACTTGCAGTATTATAAAAAACCTTGTAGAAACAGTCGAGATTACAAATAAACCGTTATTTTAAATCGTAAAATTTATTGCCAATATGAACAACCAATATGAATGATAGATAGATAGATGCTTCGCTTTTATATGTTTTATAACAATAAATGTTCCGTCACAAAATAAAACAATTTAGTTATATGAAAAATAATAGCATCGATGTTTAAATAAGGGTGACAAATTAGCACACAGTCTACCTGATGGTTAGGCGCTGAGGTCTATAGACATCTGTATCTATCCTCGATTAAGAATCAAAATGCAGAAGCTTTGTCACTACTGTGAACTAAGATGAATTGCCTCGTTTCCAGTAAAAAGGATTATGCTAATGTAGGTATATCACATCGGAAATTCCGAATCAATAACTCTCAGCATGCCTCATCCATAGTTCGATGTTACTAGTAGCTCGCGCAAACGTTAAATACTTGTTAGCGAAGGCATCTAGTAAACACCTCCACGTCGAGCGCTTTAAATACTTCGCACACGAACTATAAACTTAATTGGCGCTATTTATGAGTCGCTAGTTGTACGCTGTGATGCATTTTGATTATGCCATATAAGCAGTTGTAGGACTCAACTTTTATTTCTATAAACATTATTTTCCTAAGCAAAAGTACCTGACAATATAATTTAGGATAATATATACTAATATTAAAAATACAAATTACTTTTACAAAAAATAATTATAATAAGGAATAATAGTTGAAAACCAAAGGTAAGTATTGCTTATTGAAAAAACATGTACGCTGTACTTGTGCGTTATAAATAAACAAATAACAAACAATATAAAATTTAACTGGCCATTATTACCATTAAAACGATTCAGTAAGAGCTATTTTTCAGATGTCACTTGTAAAATGGGATTCGAGACGCCCTTGTTTCTTATTCTCGTATTGGATTTATTGTAATACCATTTTCGCTAAAATGTGCTTAATCGATATGTCATATTTTCGGGAATGAGGGTAAAAAATAAAGGGAAATACGAACAAAATTAAGGTAGAATAGTAATCTACCACTTGTTTTAGCAGTAATTTCTAATACCAGAAGTGGAATAGTTTCTTACATCAAAAATGGGATTAAAGCCTTTTCCTGTAGCTATACGAGTACATTGTAGTTTCTTGCAATATATATATATCGTATATTATATATATAGATCGTATATTATATACTAGCGCGGAACCCTAATTCTTGCTCTAAAGTAAAAGTAAGCTAAGATTAGCCGGAACAAACAGACAGGCAGGAATCCAAAAATTTAAAAAATTGTATTTCTTGGTATAAGTGCCGTGTAAACTTTCATATGCATTTAGTAAAATGCTATTATCTTGTCATTACAAACAGACACTTCAACTTTATTTATTTATATAGTTTATTTGTATAAAAAGTACTTACATTGATCACTACCCTCTCGCAGAAGTCGTGATCGTGCTGGATCGGTTCGAATGTCACCACTCCACCCTGCGGTGGTCTCCCCTGTTCCTCCTCTGGGTTGTAAAGCTTTGGTAATGACCTACGACAAAAAAAAAACATTGTTGTAATTTCAAACTAACACGCAATTTAATAAGGTAAAAATGGACAGATATGTTTAATGGCCTTTACAAAATATCTTGCATTCTTAGGTGTACATATAGCAGTGGGTTATTCTGGGGACTAGACAAACATAATGAATATAAGACGAACTTTATTTTCTCCTAAATTTGTTTTTAATTTTATCTTCGTATATAAAATCAATTGCTGCCCGTTGGTCTCGCTAACAACGGATCGACCGATTTCGATGAAATATATTGTGTGTGATATGTGTGAATGGGTTCCTAGATGATTTAAATTCACATTTGGACTCGGCATGTGGCGCTGTTGTCCGAGATATAGAAATCACCCGTACGAGGAAGGAGGGGGGGGGGGGCGTCGCTAGTTATTTATATTTATTACTTAAGCTATTCCAAAATTTGATTACACTTTTACGTTTACGGTTTCCCTTCTTTTAGTTATTTTGATCATTGTAGTTTTTTATTTTCGTTCACTTCTGATAAAGTTATTAACCTTTCCAGATATGGGTTCATCCAGTTGGTATTTCGAAAGTTAACAGAGAGAACGTTTAAATCAGGACACGGGCAAATACATTTGTTTAAAACATTTCAATTATAATATAATACGTTCTTAATAATATGGAACGTAGGAGGCAAGTTGGCGTTGTGTATACAGACTTTGAAAAAGCTTTTGATCACGTGGACCACCATCTTGCTCGCCAAACTAGATTGGGAATACATGGAGACTTGTTACGTTGGGTAAAATCCTATCCTTCGAAAAGATCTCAAGCCATAGTAGTAAGTTCATATAGGTCTAACTTCATCAATATTCCCTCCGGAATTCCACAGGGATATCCTCTATGTCCAATATTATATAACGCATATATATATGACATATTCAACTGTTTTGAAAACTAGAATTTGTACTACGTATTTGCAAACCTTTTTCGGACATACACTGTATTATACGCGTACGTTCGAAGCGTTTTAGAATACGCAAGTAGTATTTGGTTTCCCTATTATATTACCCACAAACTACAAATTGAAAGTGCTCAGGCGAAGTTTATAAGGCATCTGAATTATAGGACTCACACTTATTCTGATTATGTTATAGGCTGTCGAATCAAAATGTAACGTCCTTAGAAAATAGACGTACTACGACGCCTTAGATATGACGTTTTTGTTTAATATAGCTAATGGTTACCTAGATTCCCCAGTTTTACTATCTGTAATAAATGTAAATGTACCCAAGAAGCGTACAAGACACCCGATTATTAGCTCCCAACGCTAGAAATTCCAACTATGCAAGAAACTGACCCTTTGACTCGGATTTGCTCAATATATAGTAAAAAATGATAAAGATAAATTCAAACAAGAAGTTCTCAAGTTTTTACGGTAAATAACTTGTCTACTCATTCATTCACGTTCACATTTTACACAAGTACATCTTTTCATATATTGTTTATTGTTTTATTTTTATTTTTGATATTATTATAAATAATCCGTATGATAAAACATTTATTTATATATCTATAGACCTATACCTACACGAACACACACACACACACACACACACACACACACACACACACACACACACACACACACACACACACACACACACGCGCGCGCGCGCTATTAAACTTAGACTAAGAGGTATGCGCGTGCGCGCACGCGTACCTCTTAGTCTCAGTTTACTAGCTTTACCTTGTTAGTCTTATTGTTATTTGATATGTATTAAGAGGAGGAGATACCATTTAAGATTTATACAGGGAAACCTGTAATTGGCTGTTATAACCATTTATAAATTATTATCATTGTATATGCATAAGAGCTGTTGGTTTTCTAAATAAATAAATAAAACCTGCAATTGCGAATAAGCTTCTAATCTATGCAGAGGACAGTAAACCTGCGAAATAATTAGCATAAAAACGTTTAGTAATGCACAGATGATCGGAGCAAATCCAGCAGTTGAGGGAAAAGATAGGCAATTTTTTAAACAAAAAGTATCCACTAACCGTCAGGTGAACCTGATAGTTAGTGGTTACTGTGGCCAATAGACATCTACATTTATCCTCGATTAAGAGTCAAAATACAGATGAGTTGTCACCCCTGAGGACTAAGATGGAATGCCTCTGTTCCAGTAAAAAGGGTCTCCGGTTCTCTACACTCACCATACGAAACACAGCAGCATTAAGCTGCTATTCAACGATGGTACTCTGTGAGAGTGTGGTTCTACCCCGGTCGAACCGACCTATTCGTGCTACAACGTGCCTATATAGAATATTAATATTTATAACTGTAGCGTGGCTTTACCACGTAGAATTATGAGTAACCTATGCTAATTATTGAATCCAGCAGATTGTTCTTATAATCTGTTTTAAAATAGTGGGCCGATTTATAATCATTAAGTATGTTTTTAACAATGTCGTACAAATCAAGATGATAATCTTCAAGAGACATATACATAGTCTTTACATAAATCTAATTTTTATATATGTGATTACTGTTTGTATATAATTTTATTGTGCTAGTGTTAGTATTGCTACGATGACTTTTTGAATTCAGTGCCAAATATAAAAATCCAAAAAGGTGCAATACAGCGTGGTGTAATTTCCCAGACAATCCTCTGCTCTGCGCTGGAAGACTGATTCACGATAATAAACCGGAGATTATACTTTATGGACTTTAACGTTGAATCAAAACTCACTTTCGATATACCGAATATGGAATACTAGCTGTTCCTCACGATTTCGCCCGCGTGTTATTTGGGGTTTTAATTTTTTGCCCGGAACCCTAATTCTTTTTCTAAAATAAAAGTAGCCTAAGTTACTCCTTCTGACATCAGCTATCTGCCGGTGAAAATCCCGTCAAAATCGGTCCAGCCGTATCGGAGATTAGCCGGAACAAACACACAGACAGACCGACAGACAAGACAAAAACTTTAAAAATTGTATCTTTGTAATTAGTACCGTATACACATTCATATGTATTTAGTATAGAGCTGTAATTTTGACATTTCATTTTTATTTATTTGTATATATTAAGCTACGGTTACACTACCGTGATATGGCAATAATTATGGCCATAATTGAAACAACATATGGCCATAAGTCGTGGCTATACCTAGGTATGGCCACGACTTATGGCCATAACTTTACAATTTCAATCAATATGGCATGTGACTTTCATTGGCATATCTAGGTAAAAGGTAGTGTAACCATACTACTTCACGTGGTAGGTTTAGGTAGTGATTTAATGCCATAATTATTGCGGTAAACGGACGGTAGACGGTAAGGTGGTGTGGCCGTAGTTTTAGTAGTAGTTCTTAGTACTAACCTTTTTGATCTTAATAGTGTCAAGCGGTAAATCTTTATGGAAACATATACGAGACGAAGATCATGTCTAACTTCGATATTACGCAAACGAAAATATTAACTACCAAAAATTTGATCGAGTAAAGAATAGAATTCGACTAAACGGTCGGGTCACAGAATACCAGCGTAAAAAAGCAGCATAATGCTGCTGTGTTTCGTGTGGTGACTAGAGAAACGGAGACTCTGCTAGAAACGAGTTTTGGCCGCAGAAGGTGAGAGATTTCTCACCGGGCAAGGTGATCGGTCCGAGGAGTGGCCAACACTCCATGTGGTAGTTCGAAGCTATTCTATATATACCGTAGTACTTCGGAACTTTGACAGCGCGATTTAGGCTTCCGTGGGACTACAGCGCCGCCACAGAGGCATTCCATCTTAGTTCTCATGGGTGAAAATCACCTGCATTTTGATTCTTAATCAAGGATAGATATAGATGCCTTCGGGCTACAGCATCCACTTACCATTAGGTGGATTGTGTGCTCGTTTGGCACCCTTATTCAATAAAAAAGTATTATGCGTTAACGTAATTATAACATTATTTCTGGCTTCGATTTGCCTTTCAATGGCTCAGTCACACTGCAGACGGATCTTTCACTGCGATTTAAAGAGGCCGAACGTGCTTATCGCTTGCCTCTGGAAGGCTCTCTATATTTTCACTCCGGTAATGACATTTCGGAGTCGCGATTGCTTTGAATCCATTAATACCCTTTCAGAGCGCTTACGTTTCAACAATCAGAGTTAAGTGATTTACCGTGTCTGCCTTCAATTTATTAAAACTAGAAAAGGACACTGAACAAATGGAAGATTGACTGTTTCCAAAGATTTTGTTCTGTACTGTCTGCCATAATAACAACAATTTTAGGTATGTAATAAAATATGACATTGAGCGAGTATTTGGTTTATATTTTACCACTAGCAGCGTCCGCGACTTGTTTCGCGAGGAATTAGTACTTTTCATATGATAATTGATGATGATTTACTTTGTACTTTTAAATGTCGCGAAGATCTAGAAAGACACTAATCGTATAGACACATTCAATTAGGCAGTCAATCAAACAAACTAACGAACGAACAAATAGACGGGCCTACAAAAGAAACTATTGGACGGACCCTTGATCAAACCAAGTAACGAATTTGGCAAACTATACGCTTATATTTCATAATATTGTAAATAAACAACAAAATTACTGCAATAACGTAATACATAATTTGCTAACGAATTTCTCTAGCCAACACTTGGTTCCTATACAACACATAAGAGATTGGCCGAAATAAGCAAGCTCCAACTTCACCAATTATCTGTACTATGGTATGAAGCGCCATATTGACTAAAAGTTAAGTGTAATTAACATGAACAAAATGAAAATGTAATTACGTATCTATAGAATAGAATAGAATAGAATTCTTTTTACTCAATATAGATTATAGTACATAATACTTATTGAAAGTCATTTTTTTACTTTTACCACTTGTTCGCAAAAAAAACCTCTGACCTTGGAAGAACCAGCAAGAAACCCAGCGGGACTCTTTTTTTAAAAAAGCACAATTTATAATATAATATTTTATACAATATATTATGTGTCATCCTGCAAACATATTAAAAATAAAAC